TGGAAGCAATGGAAAGTTTTACGTGGAACGTTGATTTACGAATGTGCCAAGCTGCTAGGATAAAATTTAAAATTAAAGCTTTAATTATGCTACGATAGGCATTTCCCTTGTCGCATGAGAAAGTGAATTTTGAAAATGAATTTGATTTTCAACAAGCGAACTGGGTTCATTTACATACCACCCTGTCGTTTTTTATACGGAGAGTGATAAACACCGATATTTGCAGTTTGTCCGCACAAATTGTAATCGGACGACGCCTACGTGAATCTTTCATTGGAATATCTATCTAACAATCCTTTATTTAAAAAAAAAAATATTTTACACAAAAATGAAACACATGAGTGGTAAACAAAATACTGCTCCACAACTCACAAGTGAGGTGAAAATACTTTGCGTATTGCGTGCCGTATGGCAGCTTCCGCCATTCCTCGGTGACAGATTGCAGGCTGATCGGTGGCGGAACAACTGCCCTTGACGTGCCTCCATCGAGCCTCGACAAGGTGACGCTTCAAGACGGGGGACACTTTTCCGCATCGGGCCTCAGCCCCAAGCGTGTCAAGGCCATTTGCCGTCACTTTTCACTTTTAAATGAACCAACAGTTGTCGCTTTGATGCGGTACGACGGTACACTTCCTTTGTTTCAAGCCAACGATCTCGCTTCTTGAAATGTCTAACGCATGTCGAAGCTGATAAACCTTCTGCTCAGCAATACTGACCCAGTTTGCTGGATGTTGAACATGCAACACGTTTTGGAAGCGTGCCTTTTCCTAGGCCAAACCAAAAACGATTTTCACACCGTTGAGTACCGACTTCATCTTGAACTTCTCATTTTATCAGCTATGAAATTCAGTCGCATTGTCTCACACGAGCTGAGCCAAAAAATTAAATATATGTGACTGAACGGACCGAGTGGTTTCAGTAGATGCACACCTACGTCTAAAAAGAGCGCACGACGCTTCCAATGCAGCCGACTCAGTCTCATGTCTCAAGAAATTCTACTGAGAAGGAAGATAGAAATAAGCAAGTTTTAATGAAGGCAAATATGCGAATAGTTAATTGCACGATTCAACAACACTAATGCCACCTAAATACTTTAAAATCCTGGCCAGTACCTAAAGTCTGAGAGCTGTCAGTCGTCTCGACACTGTTCACTTTGAAGTAATTAGACATAATTATCCGTACTCACTTAAGAATATCCTCTCCTGACTGCAAGAAATGCCTATTAAGAGTCGAACTACACCAGTACTGAGCAGCTGACCCATTAGCCTGGCGCGGTCGACTGGAAAATTAGGGGATCGGTAGAGGACATCATTCAGCAGGGGAAATTACGAGCAGCACGAAGCCCCGGTGTCCAACGGAGCACTATTGGCCTGCTACAGCGGCCAACAAACATAATCGTTATCCAATCAATACCGACCATCACCTGCCGCTGCTGTCAGCACCGCGCGCTCGCGGCGTCAGGCGTCTCAATCGTCACCGCCCGCGGCCCTCACGGGCTGTGGAGCTCATCGCGGGGTGTGGGCGCTGCCTCGAGAACAGAGAGCGGCGCTACAGCGCCCTCAGGCGTCTAATCTAGGCGCCCAAACCTATCGCCGACCACGCCCATCATCTCCCCCGACCACGCCCACCCCTCCCCTGAGACACGCCCACTAGGCCCCGACGCCGTCCGCAGGCGCCGCGCGCAGGCGGTCGCCGACTGATGCGCCGGGGGTGTGTCGACCATTGACCTTGGCAGACGCAGGTGGGGGGGGGGGGGGGGGTGGTGGTCACATGCCGTGCCTTCTCCAGCGCACTTGACTACAGCCAGACTCCCAGACGACCATCAGCGACTGGTCACCGAACTGCGGCATCTGCATTCATGGCATGCAAAATAATACAACGCAGCGACTGCATACCGGTAATTTATCCCGCGGAGTCTGCAACGAGGACCGCATCGAGCTCTTCCTGTCATCTCGAGAGACATGTCTTCACGTGCGTATCTCGCATCTGATCAAAGGTCAAGTGCGTTCCGCGCCGTCACACTCTGTTTAGAGGTCACGGGCGGGGTGCAGGTCCGGTGCGGAGCGGAACAGAGGCGCGCCGGTCAATATGCCGGGTCCGGCCGGGCCGCCGCTGTCCGACCCGCTCTGGGACGCGCTCTGGTGACGCGGTCAGTCCCGGCGCGAGAGCCGAACCGCCTCAGGCGCCGACCGGTCGATACGCAGAGGCGGCGCCAGCGTCAACGCCAGGGGAGGTCCGATGGTGGCACGGAGACGAGTTAGATAATTGGTGATTATGACCTTGCTGCGTTTAGCCAGACCTTGGGCGCAATAAGGTGTTTATTGCAGGCGCAGCCGCACCAGAAGTGGAGTTTGACGTGTTTAACGTTACCCTCGACGGTAAATGTCGCCACTCCAGGCCCCCTGGCACCAACTCATTCATGCGAGGGTTCAGACGGAATGAAAATGGTAACGAAGACCCTCCAATGCTGCACCTGCGTTAAAAGCTTTAAAAGCAACTCCCGGCGTCCTGCCATTAGGCGCGAACATAACTCAGAGCCACCTGCACACAAAGTGCCGGCGCGGCACGTATGCCAAGATGTTGAATGTCAAATGTCATGCATTGCCCCTGTGATAAAGCTGCCATTTGGTTAGATCGGAATCAATGCACCGCTGTGATGTGAAGCCACACACATGCAAGTGGTCAATGAAGCCCACGTAAAACGGAATAAGAAGCCAAACCTGCACGAATGACAAAGAGTCTTATGTAAACCATAGTCACAACTTAATCGTAAGATGATATTTAAGCTGTACTCTATTTTAAGGCGGAAAAATAGGCCAGCTGAGACGACCTCCTCCTGGCACGGAGGCTTCTCTTCTCGTGCAAGATCATCAGATATAAATGTGCCATGATGTCGAGCTAATCATCTTATTCGGTACAAAGTCGCTTGGGAATGCTAGAGACAGATCTGCACTGCAATGGATATTCTTTGTTAGCATCACGAATAGTATGTGCTTCCCTTGAGAGAGATTGCCTACACCGAAACAGATTTAGCCCTACAGAATCCGGGTACAAATGTTACACATAAAAACGAACCTCTTAACAGTGTACTGTTAAATCTCTATCTAGAAATGGATTAGCAGCCACGCATATTAATTAAAACATAGTTAATCTCGTTTTGAAATACCTATAGCGGTCATATGGGAACCTTCATTCCCAAGCCACGTATCCATTCTCTGGGAGGCGCTCAGCCTGTCTCACCCAGCCGGAACCTAGCGGCCCACGCTCCGCACAGATGACGTCATGATGCCAGACCTCCCTCGACACTCCCGCAGTGAGGAGAGCGGTATGGCCAGTGACGTCATACCGCGGCGGCACTGATCGCACTGATCCCGGGCCGAAATAGGAGAGCGGAAACGACTTCGCGAGCCACTGCTTTGTTTTACACTGTGTATATATGATGGGGCCTATTTTGTCATTATCGAATGGACATAATAACTCTTTGAAAACGTTGGTATGCCTTACAGTTTCTTGAAATACGGGCACATGCATTGTAATTAATGATCGTCGGGCTCACAATTTGGTATATAAAACAAAGAAGTCTGCGGTGGCCGGTGGGTTTTGTAACAAAATTGAATGCCCTCATTCGATTTATCTTATCCAACAGTTCATCACTGATGTCATTAATTCTATACTACAGGACCTAAGATAGCATCCACCGACCACGTAATAATTTCATATTCCCTTTCGTCGGTCCTTTTTCCACTTTTTACTCAGAGTAACGAAGAATATACTATGATCAGTTCATATCACCGCTGACTTATGTTGATAGTATTTCAGTATTCTTAATTTTTACTTAGCCCTTTGAAATAATTATGAAGATAAGATGGAAATTATACAGAAAAAAAATTAATCAAGAGGTATCGTACACTTCAACTTTTTTGTATGAACGTCGTAACTTTATCTCATTCCGACATTCGGAATCGAATACACTTGACTGTGCGGTGCTCATTCTAAAATCTACAATCTAAAGCATCCGCAATAAAGAATGCACAGCACACGCACTCTACTCGAAATCCGAGCCCTGCACAGTGCACACAGTCGCTAGCGCATTTCCCTACCAAGCGATCAACAGGAAACTTTGCCGAGTAAAACTCGGCTGCACGGGTAAGCTCCACGTTTCGCTGTTCCGGTGAGGGAGCCAGGCTCGGTCGTGGTCACTCACTCGCCACTTCCTGCAGAACGGACTGCCGGTCTCCGCCGCGTGGCTGACTGACTACAGTCGCCGTGAGAACGGTCTAATGGCCGGCGGCGTCCGCCGGGCAGGGATGGGCGGTCTGCCGGCCGGCGAGCGGCCCATGAAGGTCAGCCCCGCCACGTGGGGGCAGCCGTGGAGGAAAAAGGGAGCGCTGTGCCCTCTGAAGGGCTGGCGTGGCACGAGGATTTTGTATTTCTGTGAGAGTATTAGAAGTGAGATGGGTGAACGTTTATGATTTATACGGTAGATACAAGCATCAATTTAATTCATTGAGCAAATGTAATTGCGCTTTCTCCTTGACTTAGTAAGAATTGATGAAACATCAAAAACCTGCTTCAACTTAAGAATAATGAATTTACTATATTGTCCAATAGATATCCAGTAAAGCACTGAGTGGCTGAGCAAACCAATTTGTCATAGCGCTTTAAAGCATACGTTTTTAGGAAAGACGTTTTAATTTCGCTGGACATCATAGGTCATTTTCAAAGATATGTTGCCGAAGATCAGTAATCAGTGATCAGTGATCAGAATAGAGCTCCCGTCCTCAGTCGGGTCTCCCAGTGGCCAAAAAACTCCTCCGTCTCTCCCCACGTATCCATTCCGGGGCTCGGCGTCCGCCGGGGATTCGAACGGGACCCACCCAGTCGCCATAGCAACAGAGTCCCTCCGCGCGTCCCACGCCGCGCGCAGTCTAGCTCCACTTCTCCGCGGCCCAGCGGGGCCAGAGCCCGCGCTGACCTACTCTAACACCCCACGAACTCACCTTCCGAGTGTCCGAGCCGAGCAGCAGCCAGCAGCACCTCTCACGGGTCCTCCCTCGACCGCCCTCGGAGCGCTTGTGACTGGCGTCGGGTCCGCGCGCCGGCGCTTCTCGACGCCGCCGGCTGAGCCGGTGACGTCACGGCCGAGCCGGTGCCCCGCCCACTGAGCCGGTGCGGGCACTGGGCCGCGCTGAGCCAGCCCTCCCCCTCCCCCTCCCCACGCCGTGCCGGTACCGTGGGTTAGCGGCCGCCTCTGGAAGGCGGTAGCGTCGCCAGGTAGAGGGCGGTGATGGGGCAGTGGATGGGAGGGATTTCCCGGCCCCCCTCCCCTCTGTCAGGTGAGCTGGGAGGTCTCGTGGGAGCGGGGGGGGGGGCACGTGGTAGCCCGCGGTGGTGGTGGTGGAAGGGGGGGGCTGTCAGTGTACTTACATACCGGGCAGCTGTCAGGGACGGTCACAGTCTGTGTCACTTGACAAGTGTGCCAGTGCAACAAACGTAAGTGACTGTAGACCTGAAAATGTGGCGGCATCAAAATTGATGACATTTAGCAGTCATATAGTGATTAAAAACATATTCCACTAAATTAAGTATGTATGTATGCATGCATGCATTAACCCTCGCCCGCACATGGGGGGGGGTGGTTGCCACCCCCCAGGTAGTCTTTCTGCTCTGCACTCAACATTTTTAGAGCTAGAGGGCTGATTTTTCGTATAGCTGCTCCTCTATCCTTTCTTGATGTCCACTGAAAATTTCAAGTTTCTGTGGTTTTTGGTTTCGGAGATATGACCTTGTTTTTCAGGTCATGTCATGACCCAAATGGCCAATTCTCAACATCTTGCGTTTGCCATGGGCCTTATGAGCTTTTGACACCCTGATTTCGGCCTTTTTTGCCAGTCTTACCTCCCACCTATCATGGAACATGTTGTTCGACGATGTACAGGGGTCAAGGTCAGGGTCAAGGTCAACCTAGGTCATCTAAGATAATTGCGTTTTAGGCAAGCTGAATTTACTTTTTTTGAAGTTTTTTGACTGCATTTTTGGTAAAAGCTTCTCAGATCATGATTTCATGTAATATGGACCCAAAAACAATCGGTGCACACATCAGTATACACACAGACACACACAGACATACAAACACATATAATTGACCTTGACCTAACTTGACCTGAAATGACCTCAGCAGCAAAATTCTGGTCGGGTAGTGTGACAAAGAGGTTCTAGCTGGCTTGGCACCAGAAAACAGCATCGTCATCGGTATTTGATAAGCAGCACACTTGATATCCAACGGTGACCCAAAACAGCAACATTTTTTAGTTTGACCTGACCTGGAAGGTCAATGACTGACCTGAGAAGGTAAAACTGGGTATCATTGGATTCGTCTCTTCCCAAAGAATCTTTTTGGTCTTTACTGCTAAGCTCTATCTCCAACAGGAACGAAATGGCGCGGGGGGGGGGGGGTGGCAACCCCCCCCCCCCATGTGCGTTCTAGGATGGGAAAATGGCATGTGCGGGCGAGGGTTAACAACACAAGGCTTCCACACACAGCGTGGCGATCACGACTTTTACGGGAAGTAGCAGTAAGTGCCCATGAAATGCCCAAAGACGTCATTAAATATGAATGTGTTTTACTTCAGCAGGCCCTTCACACGTTTCCCTCCACATTCACTTCAACATGAAAATCGATTTCTCGTGTTACATAGCGACGGTCCAACATGCGATTGCTGGAGGGCAAGCCAACAAGAACACTGCGATTTGTATTCTCATTTCATGTCATGTACTGGGTGTCCCAAAGAAACAAACAATAAACTTACATTTTTTAGTTTTTCATCCCATGATGCTAAAAGTTAACTCATTTTTAATCCCAACCCGGCACTCAATCCTAACCCTGCAATTGAGGCCCTAATCGGTGCTGTAGATGCGAACTGTTCTATTGAGCTCGCGAGTCGCGGTGTCTTTTACTTTTTACGTTCTTTAAAATTTGTAATTTGTCCTTTTATAGTCGTATTATTTACGATCTTTGGAACGTCAACACCCGTATGCTGATGGCATTTGTTGATCGTGCACAGTGCACAGTGACAGGATGGCACACGCTCTTCTTTTGTCGAGCACACCTCCGTATTCAATCCACTACATTCACCAATTTGCCATTGAGCCGTGCTATCTTTCTATCGGACTGAAGTCGCCCAGCTGTCGCCGTGATTTCCGCCCAGATACACGATCTGTGTACTTTGACCGGCCATAGACCCTGCTTACATAACGAGACATCGCTGAGAAGCGTGGCATTGCGGCTCGTATATGTAAGCACATGTGCTGCATGACGTCAACGCCCATCTCTAATTCAAAACCATCCGTCCAGTTATCTTATTTAGTTTGCAGCTTTAACCCTTATCACTGGTAGACTATGGGCTATGAGGAATACGTTGGCTGGTGAAGTGGGACGATTCGGCGCGCCTTGATTGTTAAGGAGTTGTAATACCGAGTTTGATGCGACATACGCCAACCGATTGCTCTGAACTTTAACTACATAACTACTTAGGTATATATTTAGGCAATAACTTATTGGGAAAACAGTTTCCCAAGAAATGATCCTGGAGACGTCTCTACACAAATAAGGAACCTTAAACTTCGGACTTAATACTCCCGATGAGTGCTCAGGCAATTTCACTTTCCTTGCACAGGTTATTTTTCATACAGCAAGTTAAACTGGCCGGGGTTCAAGGCCCTCCCTGCCCCTCCCCAACTGGACGCAGGGTTTACTCTTTTCGAACTATTTTCACCCTATCGCTCCAGCATCATCCTTTCTGATTTTAGAACTCACAAAAAACACCCGTCTAATAGCAGTGTAATATAAAAAGTTTGCATTTTTAGTTTGCGCTTGAATTCTGCTAAAAAATAATATTTTATGACTCTTGTATGTTTTAAGTTGTCTTTTCGGTTCACTTCGAAATGTTCGATAAGTCAATGGAATGGAATGAATCTGATAATGGAATTAAGATAATTATGAAGCAAAGTAGATGAAGACCGTGAGACACTTCAGATGAATTATTGCAGGCTCACAGAAAAAAAAAAAACACATCTTGCATCTAATTTCTTTGAAGATGGTGTGCACAAATCCTCGATATAGAAGGGAATCGTGCTTTGCAGCGTTATCGAGTCAGTTGTGACACAACGCTGACCGGCTGGTAGTCGTTCCGTTCCACATGTTACTGCAGCCATCGGCGGCCTTGCCAACCGGTCCGACCCGTACGGATTAACAGCAACGTGGTGAAAGAAGACCTGCTTCAAACACGGATGAAAGCGAATCTGCTCCTCACCACGAGTTCAGCGAGCTCAAGAGACACTGCAATGAAAGATGAAAAATGCTTTCTACGCGGGATCAATCGTTAGACCTCAAGGAACCTGCATTAATCATTATATTGGCAACATTTTGGAGCATAAGCCCATTGTAGTCAAGGGCTTGCTGGCTAATTTTAGCGACTATCGTGAAAAAAGTGTCCAATTGACAGGGTATTTTGCTAACGGTTTCGTCCTGGATTAGTACGACATGACCATTTTTGTTTTAGGTACTTAATAAAACCAGTGCTTCATGTGCCAATGTCAAACGTCCTATGCATTCTTTTATTTCATACTGCAAGATGTTATGGACTCTTAGGTAGGTACTTACCGTCCTTTTATGGATGAACATATCCCGCATGCTAATAATTGTGGGCGATTCTCCTGATATCATTGAAACATCACAACTATCATAATCACAACTGCCAGCGATATCAGCCAGGCTTCATCAAAGCAAGCACTGCACTCGGCCGCGGCCTGGTCACGTGACCTGCCGTTTGACGGGCGCACCTGCCATGCATGGCGCGCAGTGGGGGCTGCAGTTGCACGGCGGAAAATGTATGGATGGTGGATGCACTCCGCCTATTGCAGCCGTCTCAAGGCTAGAGTATCGCCGAGTCATGCTACTTAGCATGGTACCGAGCACCAACACGGCTTCAACGATTCCCAGACGGTCTCTCGCACGATCGCACGCGATAGAACAGTCTCAGATCCGTATAACTCCACTTGTATTCAGGTTACCAGGTCAGAGATGGTGTGTTTTTAGATTCCATAACGATTGAGGTAAGCTGGCTGAGAGAATTTCTAACTGAAGGCGTTTTTAAATTGACGCATTAACCCCCGCACGATTGGGGGGAGGGGGGCTAGTTTACATGGACCCATCCGTTTTTCTGCCATATCTTCATACCAACCACTAGACGTATCGGCACGAAACTTTAAGTTATCTCAGATACACCAAGTTGAAACCTTGCGCAAAAGGAAACTTCCGTAGCTGCCATAAATAGGCCGGAAATAACGTCAGAGTGACTTAATGTTCAGACGATTTTTACGCAAAACATGGGCTTATGGAAATCCATCTTAAGAGCCCAGTTTTTAATGTAACACCGTTTTCTTTACATTAAATAACGGAAAATACACATAGCTATCAAAATAACATATCTTCGACTGTTGAGCTTTTTGAAAATTCTGGAAGTTACTCATATGATATATCAAAAAATGCTTTAACTACATTTTATATTCAAAGACGGCTTATATGATGGAATGCATAAGGGTTATGCAAAATGTTTTAGACCGATAGCTTTAGAAATGGATAAGTTATGTACTTTTACATTTTATTGCAGGTAGTGGCTGATTCACCGATAGCCGTTTTCACGACTGGCTATCTGACGAATGCACCTTTGACCAAGTCTGCACAAAACCTCTTTAACAATCAATAGCTTCGCGTCATGAATTCATTTCAGTGTTTTAATCAAAAATGATTTCTGATTATTTGAAAAAAGAGGTATACAAAGCATCTGTGCAGCCCAAATGGATAACTGTTAGGAAACACACTGAACCTAATTTGACCAAATCTACACCAAATCTGCATCTACATAATATAGAAAAACAACAAAGTAACTGATCACTCATTCGAAAGGTAATAAACCTACTATAAGAAACTACTAAAATTCTTGAGGTATCAAAGGAGCAAACAGGTATCTAATAGGTACCCTCTATTCCGTCGTGAAAACGGCCAATCTGCACCAAATGTGTGATAATAGCCGCCGTGAAAACGCCTATTATCATATAATGCAAATGCAATCACCGGTGCGTTTTACACATCATACACCAAAGAA